AAGCTATAGATTAAACTAACAGACGAATATTTAGGTAGTTTATCAACCATTATATACCCCCTTCAAGGATTAATGTGGCAGAGTAGTTAAGGGTTTAATAATTTTCATAATAATTAGTTTCTAAAGACTAATAATTTAGTGGAAGAGAAATATCTAAATCCTTTAGGACCCGAAATTGTAATAACATTTATGATTAATAAATAGTAGATATTAAACGTGAAAGATTAATAGATTTCTTAAGAGGGGTACATTAAATTTGTTAAGCTGTTACAAAATAAAAACCGACCGTTATAGATGATAAATGAGCAAGATGATTGTGGCTGTATATCTAGAGAAGATGGTTTCTATTTTAGTCTTCTGTCTGTTCGCAGACGTAAGGTTTTGCAAATCTTCAATCATTTATGTTTGTTTATAGTCTTGCGTATTATTACTGCATAAAAGGAATGAATATTGAAGTATTATTCAATATACACGAGTTATGTACACGAGTTATAAAAGTCATAAATACTATCAACCAAAGGAATTAAGCAATTCTTGTACTATGTTATATTTATTAAGTCTTTTACATATAGACTTATATAACATGCTTTATATTTGCAAACCTTGTTTAGGACATATCCTATGCCAATCATATTCCGAAAATTGAATTGGTCCCTTGAAATTGGATTTACCACCTTTGGAGGTCTTGACCAAGAGTTCACATTTACAAGGATTTAAAACACTCAGAGGATTTATGAAAAAACAGAGTAATATAGCAAAGCTTAAACCGTAAATTAAAAAAAAAATTAAATTACATAACCAGTCAACAATTATATAAAAAAACCTGATTAAGTATACTATACATAGCTGTATAATTAACAGCTTAGGGACAGTTTTAAAAATTTGTATCCATCAAACATGGAATCTATGCTTTCTTCTATTATATTGTATAGTACTAACCTTAAATTTGACAATCTAACATGTTAAAAAGTTCTCCCAAAGGTGAAATGTTAACCAACAATTTTGTTTCATAAACTCTTTCCCAATTTTAGATCTCATCTATCATCTAATGTTCACTAAACATTTAACAGGACTTTCTTAAAAGGCGATGGGAATAAAAAGTAGCAACATAAAACAGTCAAACTATTGCGTTAAGTTAAAAAATACTAAATTTACCAGATCCAGAACTTTATTTAGTTCTGTGTCACTAATTACCATGAATTAAGACAACAAAGTAATTACAATAGTCATTAGTCTGTGGCAATCAATTGCTGAGTACAAATGAATCAGTGGAGCCAACTTAGCCAAACCTAATGCCAAACTGCTACTGACCCTTTGCTGCCCGTCTCTAATTGTCTAATTGATCATTTAGATCTCATCTACCATATGATTTTCACTAAATGTGTAATACCAATTTCTCCAAAGGAAATGCATATATGTCAAAATGTTCCTTGTGAAATGACAAGCAAGTCGTTTCAATATTTTTTCAATAAATAGTAAGTTAAGCATCTGAATTAGAATATTTAGTGTAAGAATGGATGAAGGGACCGGTTATTTCCAATACCGTAACTAAAATATTAGTTCAAAGATTTAGTTTTAGAATTTAGTTTTTTTATGTATATTGTTTTAGGGTGTATTTGAAAACTGCATTTTAATTGTAGGTATAATTTTCAGTAGGTATTTGAAAGATTTATCTTCGCTTCGTGCCTGTTCAAAGGTATATTTTTTAAAAAGTGTCTTTAAACCTAATAGATTTCCATGGATGAACACAAATGTTTATATTACTCTGGGAGGGAGCGATGTCCGTTAGCGTCACTTGCGTCTAAATGCGAATGCCTTGTATGAGAAAGTTTCTTGACACAGTTTCTATCTTGGTCAAAACTCGAGAGTGATTTCTATTGTACACAGTTCCATTAGGAAAGATCGATAGAGAGCTGTAATGCAACGATCATGTCTTTGGTTGGCGCTGGTCCAGCTGAATGGATGATGTCTGGCAGAGCTGACGGTTACAGAGCGTTCACACCGACGTATCTCAACACTCAGTAGTAATAGCTTACGTTCAGCTTATTAGCAAAGAACTTCGTTGCGGTGCAGCTGTGTTGGCAGCCTTCTGGGTTAGCGACCTCTGACTTTGAATAGTTCTTCATTGTGTATCGTACACTGCATCGAAAACATGAAGTTTAAGTAACACTCATTATGAAACAATCGGTACAAGTCTAGCTCAAGTTTTGAGAGTCAGGTGACCCCAAATTTTACTAACGCTACATAAATCGTTTCATTTTTAGAAAGACTTTAATCTATATAACTTGCATAAAAGTTGAGTTTCAACTATATAATGACCCATCAATGTGTTTTTTACAGGGTACAGAATCTAAAGTGATGGATTTTCACTCTGAACCATGGGACCAGTGTTGGAAAAATACCCGACAACGATAAGAGTAAGTTGGCTAAATTGTATGCTAAGTAAAAAGATATTGTTTAAGTGAGTGAAAATGTTTATTTGAAAGGGTCAAATATAAAATTGTAATAGTTATAACGTCTTGTTCTTGACTTACACAATTTATATGGGACAAGGAAGGTTTATACGAACCAAGATTAATTAATAAAAGTACCATTTCAACAATAACACATCATGATTATGTAAACAGGTTCTTCTTAAAAAACCAAAACACTAATCGAATCATTTAGAAGGTAATTAATGAAAATTTAAATATACTCAACAATAGCATGCACTCTTCAACTATATTCTAACTCTATTGCGTTGTTGAACAATCTTTTCATTTGCTCTTAGGTTTTTTAGCGAATTTCCCTATAGGGAAGTAGCTATTACCGTAGGTGGCACGGTAAAACCTAGACCCGGGACCGATTTACTTTTTCATTTGGATGTCCCCAGAGGCCAAAAACACCATTCGTTCAAATTTTTATATATGTATATATATATATATATATATACTAGCTGACCCGGCGAACTTCGTATCGCCTAAGTTATAGGTTTCCCCTAAGACAGACCGATGGAAAGAAAGTACCGTCACGTTTAATTTTCAAGATGATCTCGTTCGCATCGCTCAATCACGTCCTGGTTGAAGTTCGTTCGCTACGCTCACTCACCTTTGGGTTGGAGCTCGTTCGCTACGCTCACTCACCTTAAGGTTGGAGCTTGTTCGCTGCGCTCACTTGCCTTCAGGTTAGCTCGTTCGCTACGCTAACTCGCCTCCAGGTTGAAGTTCGTTCGCTACGCTCACTCACCTTTGGATTGGAGCTCGTTCGCTACGCTCACTCACCTTTAGGTTGGAGCTCGTTCGCTGCGCTCACATGCCTTCAGGTTAGCTCGTTCGCTACGCTAACTCACCTCCAGGTTGAAGTTCGTTCGCTACGCTCACTCACCTTTTGGTTGCAAATTAGCTGTTGTCATAAATGTAAAAGAAATAATAGTGCTGCACCCTGTTGGTAATCCTTGTAACTTTAATGCTATTGAACATCATAGAACAGAACCAACTTGTTTAATTGAAACAGCTGTTAAGATTCATTAATTCCATTTCTCATAAGGTTAACATGGAAAACTCCAGAGCCACTGGGGCGGAGCCCTTTTAAGAATTTTGAAACGGGAAATAGTTTACGTCCGATTCGCATACCTACAGAATTTACACACCAAATTTCATAACGATCGGTGAAGTCGTTCCGGAGGAGTTTGCAGACAAACACTGTGACACGAGAATTTTATATATTAGATATATATATATATAGACTTATATATATAAGTCCGTGAACGCGATAACTTGAGTAATTTTTGTCCGATTTTGATGAAATTTGGTTTAAAGGTGTAAAGCGGGATAAACTTGAATGAGTTCGTGAACCAGCACGATCGGACCATGGGAACAGGGCTTTACGGGGGGTTTTATGGGGTAAAAATTGGTTTTTCTCACTTTTGACCCTCAAAACACAAAATTTCCTGATTTCTCTTTACACCTTTTTAAAGAGCTTAAAAAAACAAATAATTTAGTATATAAAAGTATTTTTGTTCAATTATTAGTAACGGAGAAAATTAAAAAAAAATGTAAATTTAAAATTCCCATGTTATTCTTATGGAGAATATTGTCAAAAGTTGTAGTTTGCTTGTTTATGGATATATTTTGATCAAACTTGGCAAATTTATTTATTTTGTACTAAGCTATCAATATTTTACTCAAAAACACACTTTATTAGTTTCCTTGTAGCAGCAAACCTAGGTACTCGTTAAACCTAATGTTATTAAAATATATTTAACTGAAAATCAATTCAGACAAATGGAAATTCGCTTAGTCGGCAGGTTTGCTGCGGCGGGGGTATTTTAGTTTTCTCACCGTCTTGTAAAGTTCTTTTTTACGAGACGCTCTTGTCTCTGTTTGCAAATGGTTTTGATGGGGGTCATACGGAGCAGAAAATATTCTATATCGTTATAATCCACAACCTCAGCTGTACTCTCGACTACAACCCAAATATCAATCGATTTATGTTACAGAATATGTCATTCCTCTGAACCACCGGTCATGACGTAGCCAGGAGACAACATGTGTGACGGAGTCCTCAGCGATGTCGAGGCCTACAACGTCTCTCTCATGTGCACCTCGGTGTACGACAACCTCAGCTGTGCTCTCGACTACAACCTCAGTAACAACTAATTTTCATGTTACAGAATATGTCATTCCTCTGAACCACCGGTCATGACGTAGCCAGGAGACAACATGTGTGACGGAGTCCTCAGCGATGTCGAGGCCTGCAACGACTCTCTCATGTGCACCTCGGTGTACAACCTCAGCTGTACTCTCGACTACAACCTCAGTAACAACTGATTTTCATGTTACAGAATATGTCATTTCTCTGAACCACCGGTCATGACGTAGCCAGGAGACAACATGTGTGACGGAGTCCTTTAGCGATGTCGAGGCCTGCAACGACTCTCTCATGTGCACCTCGGTGTACAACCTCAGCTGTACTCTCGACTACAACCTCAGTAACAACTGATTTTCATGTTACAGAATATGTCATTTCTCTGAACCACCGGTCATGACGTAGCCAGGAGACAACATGTGTGACGGAGTCCTCAGCGATGTCGAGGCCTGCAACGACTCTCTCATGTGCACCTCGGTGTACGACAACCTCAGCTGTACTCTCGACTACAACCTCAGCCTCACACTCAACTGCGATGTGTCTCCCTCTGGGGGAGTTCTCGACTCAGTCTACTTCCACACTCTCGTGTACGTCATGTACTGCGCCATCTTCCTCATCGCCCTGCTGGGCAACGGGCTGGTCTGCTACGTCGTACATTCCTCCCCCCGGATGAGAACGGTCACCAACCTCTTCATCGTCAACCTCGCTGTCGGTGATATTCTCATGACTGTGTTCTGCGTCCCGTTCACCTTTGTCACCACTCTGCTGCTGCAGTATTGGCCGTTTGGGAGAACGATGTGCAGTACGGTCAGCTACTCCCAGGCGATCTCTGTGTTTGTAAGTTATTTTAATACGGAGTATTTATTTGGGTCATTTGATTAACTATCGTTTAATTCATTAGGTATAAATATTTTTTTTACTAATGTGGTTCATACAAGCTAACGTTATGATTTTACATAATTGTTTATATAAATTTGTAAATCACTGGTTTTACCAATAAAAATCTATTTACAAGTACTGTTACATACAGTCTATCAACATTAAATTAGAAATGTAAAAGAACGTAGCAATAATAAAATAATGGGTTATGCGTTTGTAATTATGACTAAATATTGAAAAATTTATCACCGGCTTATGAACGAAAATGCTGTCCAACGGTTAGCGGTTTACTAGCCCTAACTCAATCAGTGGTCAATTTAGCAACCGAAGAGGAAGGGTTGTTGGATTAAATGGGTTATTGAATCTGGTTGATTTTCTCCATACTTTGAAACCAAAAATATTATAAGCATAGGATGTTGTACAAAATGTCGTGGTGACAAACTAGTTCACAAAATGTTAGTTAATTTTTGTATGTTGTGGTTTTAGAATTAGGGCCGAAAAAAGCATAAGGCACCCCCTCACTCGGACTTCTGTATGGATATTAAACTTTAGTTTTTTTGACTCACTTTCATTTTAGGACATGTAAGGGTGTGTTGGATAATCATGAATGTTTTACTATTTATTATTAAACAAGCTGCAACATAGTTTTACAAAAATATGTGGAATTGGGTGTTCAAGAAAATAGCCTTTTTAAATACATACAGTTAACTGTATCGTCAAAATTATTTTATGTTGACGTAAGCTCAGTGCTTATTGAAGAGAAATGCTTGGAAGACAAACATCACCTGTTACTCAAACGTTTAGAGATATCCAGAGTTTGGTTTCTTGCCAGGAATGTCAAATACAGCGGAATAAATGTCTGCTTAGCTTACGTCTGAACGGAACACTAAACACAAGGCTGAGATGCACTAGTTTATCAAAGTTAGCTGCATCGTGTCTGCTAACTAAACTAGTTGAATATCTGCATGATGATTATCGCTAATGACTAATGTATGGCTAAGGAGCAATGTGGTTGACGTACTTGTGCACTAAACAAATTTTCATACACTAATTTATGTGAGACCTTTTTCCACTTGGAGATTGAGTAGCTACTAAAACGAATAATTAAATATTTTTTTTAAATTACATGTAAAGATTGTTTCATTAGGCTCTCTGCTTTAGACGGATAAGGTCATAGAGTTAACCTGCGACTGATCATCCAAACACTGCCTTCTGTCTTTTTTGGGGCTATGTTACTGTAGTAACATGTAATGAACGGAAAACCCAAACTGTTTTGTCACTATTATGTTGTTACTAATGTCACATTCAGTAAGACATTTCTCATTGTGGTGTATTACTGAGCAGGTGAGCGCCTATACGTTGGTGGCGATCAGCATAGACCGCTTCATGGCTATCATGTGGCCACTCAAACCCCGCATGGGCAAACGTCAAGCTAAAGTCATTATACTCATAGTGTGGCTGGTGGCGCTACTGACGGCTCTGCCTATACCACTGGTGTCACGGATAGTCCATCCTAGCCACTGGCACCAACTGTGTGATAAGTAAGTGAGCAATAAATGGCTGGTAGATTGCATAGATTATACAGCCATAAAGCTAAATTTGTATTAATGTTTCTATTATAATAGTTACTTTACTTTTGGTGAGTTGGTGGCTCAGTCGGTAGTGTGACGCAGTGGGTAGGTTCAGATTGCTGCTATATTGGTATTTGTTGCTATACTCTATCAGTACAGTTCAACCTTCATGCAGCTCAACCCTTGCTGTGCTGGATATATTCCAAGCACAGTCCTAAAGTCTGAATATACCGGCAAATGCACGACTAAAAGACGCCACCAACCACTTTTGTTAAAATAAAGCCATTAAAAACATACAAGACAAATCAGTCAAAACTGTAACTGCGTGAAGATTTATAAAGCAGCATTAGCAAAGTTGTAAAATCAATTTATGTTTAAAGATAGTTTATTGATAATTTATAATTTTTTTAGAAATTCTGCTCGGCATACATCTGTAGAAAGGTATTATAACGATTTGAAATTATATTAAGATGTTGTTTATTGCCATTGTTGTATATTAAATTGACAAGAACTATCCTGTAAAGCAGTATTTACTGAGGAACGCTTGCTAAATAAAGGCATTTTTATTTATTTATTTATTTATTTATAGTGCTATTGCCCTATTGTATCAATGTTTGGCAAGCTTAACTTTCATCTAATGTAAAATACATTTTATATTTCTTAAAAGATAATTTCTAGGTAGAAAACAAAATATAGTTGATGACAAAGCCTAATATCGTGATGTTGATAAAATAACATTATTTTTTTTTAATTTCATCTTTTTTTTATATTAAAATTTATCAATTCTACTAAGCCTCGATTATTTTTCAGTAGTCGAATAGAAGGAAGAAAAATATTGAAAACAAATAATTCACCATTTGGGCTTGATCCCTAAACCTCGGATCGCAATGTACTCTTTCCGTCTTTCATGTGATGATACTACAGTAGTTAACTGTTGATAAATACTAATATGTTTTCATGAGACGTTCTTACATCTATTGTGCTCATTTTTCTACCTTACACTATTACACTGCACCAAATAAAAAAGACATGATGTTCTCAAAGAAACAAAAACCACTTTGTGTAAATGTTACTCAAAGCTTACTTTTATCGTTCCAGAGGACTATGTCAGGAGGAGTGGGGCAGTATAGAGCACCGCACGCTCTACAGCATGACTCTACTGGTTCTACAGTATGTCATCCCGCTGCTGGTTCTAGTCCTGACATACTCCAGTATAGCAGTAGTAGTGTGGGGCAAGCGGCCGCCGGGAGAGGCCGAGAACTGCAGGGACCAGAGGATGGCGAGGTCCAAACGAAAGGTAAAAAAAATATACAATGGTTTCCAAGCTATTAAATAAAATTATGGGCAGTTCTTAAAAACAAATTTTGGAATGGTAACGCCTAAGCTATTTTTCTTTAGGCAGAAGCCTCTTTAAACCTTGCATTTGCCCGTTCGTAATGTTTTACATGTTTAATCTAATGGAAAATATACAATCAACGCCGAATAAATTAACAAAAGTGAAATCATTTGGGGTGAAATAAAAAGTTTGATAATATTCTAAAATGATCGAATAATTTACAATTATTTTACATTAGTTTGCTCCGCAGATACAACAATTCTAGATTCAAAGTCGCAGCACATAGTTTATTGTAAAACTAGGGGTCCATGATGATAAGTAATAAAAAAATTATGAGTTTAGTTATAAAGATGTATACAGAGTCAAGTAAAAAATGAGTTAATCTAAACAATATCGAATTGTATAATATTCATAGAGAGCAAAAATAAAAATACAAGTTTGTAAATCGTTTGTCAAAAGAACAACTGCATTTCAGTTTACAGATTCACAAACAGTTTGTAAAACTTTCTAGGAAGTGTTAGAGCTAAATGTTACGAGAAAGATTAGGTACCGAAACATCTTGATTGCAAAATCAACTTTACAACTGTTTACATAGCGCAACAGCTTTGTTAGGCGTTGAAGTGACTTTTAGAGCTCAGCGCTGGAAAATATTATTCCTTCCCTTGTTTGAGGCCTTCATAAATTTGATTTGGTTAACTGAGTTACCAACTGAAGAAGAGGGTAATAAATGAGTTATAGGCAACAAAACTCACTTTGCTTTGAACGTGTTTAAAGTATTGAGAAGTGCGTATGATGCCAGATGTGGAATGAAAGAATAGAAGTTAGAGCAAAACACGAATGCTGATCGTGTTTTTAACACTGAATGTATGGTTTATAGGTATTATTTGGATTGTGGTAATACTTCTACTTATACATGTTAATGATTTCAATTATCTTGGTTTTAGATACAGTTTATGGCCAACAGTTTCTAATTCAATTACTTTCTTGAATGTAACTTACTTTACAAATAGAGTCGTAATACTTGCATTATTAAGAGTTGTTTTTAATGAATGCTGTAAAGTAAAGTATTAAAGAGTACTTTACTTTTTGGTTAGTCGGTGCTCAGTCAGTAACGTCACGGACTTGGGACCTTAAGGCAGCAAAGTCGTGGGTTCGGATCCTGGTCACTACTACTTTTTATCAGTACATTTCACCCTTGTAATGTACCGGCTCACTCTTTGCTTTGTTCCTATGTCGAAGGGCAAATGCAAGGTTAATAGAGGCAGTCAACCTTTTTTTCAGTAAGGTTATTGTATAAAATTCCATAAAACCTTATGAATTATTTAGTACTTTAACATCTATAGGTTTCAATGATACTTAGCTAGATTTAGTCCTAAGTTAATGGTTTACTTGTATTCATACCTCAAAATAACTAAAATCGATGCTTCTCAATTATTTAATACACATTGTTACATTATCCATTGTAGCCATATATTTGTCACATGCAGTATATTCTTCATAAAGTCACTATGTTTTTTTTTCAAACTTATAGTTTCTTTTTTCATGAATAAAAACCTTCATTTTTTTAAAATCATATTACTATGATCTGTAATTTGTTATTATAACTACAACAAATCTACTAGATCTTTTACATTATATATTTGAAAATTACAAAGATGTGTTTGTAAATGAACTAGTGTCATATAAAATCATTTTTATACGCAATTCATTTTCCAGATGATAAAAATGATGGTGACTGTAGTGGTTGTGTTCACTATCTGTTGGCTCCCCTTAAATGTCTTGAATGTAAGTACTTAGGATATTACTATACGTTTGTATATAGGCCTGACATAGTAAATAACTTCAATATGATATAAAACCTGATCTTTAAAGTATTCTTATAATATCAGATAGATTAAATTTGATTGGTCAATAGAAAAAATAATTTCATGATTTTGGAACCATTGAAAAAGTGAAATAGATTTGAGATGTAGCCTACCTTAAAAAATGTAGATCGTAAAAAGAATCTAGTAAGGACCCAATTAGTCAATTTTGTGAAGGCGTGTTATTCTTATTTTGACCACTTGTGTCTTTCAATAGTGTTGTGTTGATATACTTTGTGAACTGTTTTGTATCAGTTAACTTTATACACGTGTTATGTTATACTATTACACCTTCTTGGTCTTATCATATTACAATAACCCAAAAATTATAAAATGCATTTAAATGGCTCAAAATAGAGTGAGTGAGCGTACTGTGGTTACATGAATATAGTTTGTTAAAATAAAAGGATATGAATATGAATATTATCATGTAAAGTTTTATAGAATTACAATGAAAATGAAATTTTAAAGTTAAACTTTTAAAAACCTAGATCTGAAATAATGTTTTATAGACTAATCATTTGATGTAATCTCAAAATCTTTGCACTCGTCCTATCTTTTCAAGACCACTCTTTTTTTAATAGTTTAAAAAACTTATTTTGAACGTACTGAATTTAACAGTATTTCATTTTAAAATATAATTTGTTACACAATATCTTAACCAACCTGCATCTTAATCAGAAATATGCCATTGGCTATCATGTGTGTGCTCATTGTCCGAATTCGGAGTTTGAGTGTAACATATGCATATAAGTAACTAATAAACACTAATAGAGTTATAATTATCAAGATTATGAATATGTTTGTATCTGATATCTCTTCTGTTACATTATTCCAAACTATATTAAGGTAGATACCGCATACATACTTCTAAATTAAACAGTTTCACTACAGTCAAAGCACATGAAACGAATACAAAAACCAAGTTATAAATCATATTTTTATTCAATATGAATATATTTTATCCTGTTATTTTTCATTTTCAAAAAGAAAGGGTTTGAGTAAAATTTAGAGCATAAATTCCAAGAGTAAATCCTTGAAAGTTAATCTTTAATCTTACCTGTAGAGTATGTACTAGTGGTAGGGCGAGGGACTACGGTCCCTGAACCCCGGGTTAGAATCCCACCAAACACCAATCTAGGCTCTAAACTCTAGGATCGTGCCCCCACCCACTAAGCCTAGTTTGATGGAATGTGTTTAACCAACATAGTTTTTTTTTTATTATGTGAAATACATACAATGAATCAATATTAAAAGGTAGTAGATTATCAATAATTGTTTCACTACTGCATTTTAACTCCAAGTTCTGATCAGTTGTTTCTGATTGTGTTTAGTTAGTCTGGGAGAGCAACCCAGATGTTATTGGTTCGTGGAGTGGTCTACCTTTCCTATGGTTCGCCTTCCATTGGTTGGCCATGTCTCATTCATGCTACAACCCAGTTATATACTGCTGGATGAACTCGAGGTAAGATAGTCTATACTACGCTGTAAAATACCGTTGTATTATACCAGCTTCCCACTATTTAAAAACACCACTGCATGGACAAGTGAATTAAAAGTGTTTAAAAAAAAATACCCCCGCCGCAGCAAACCTGACGCCTAAGCGAATTTCCATTTGGCTGAATTGATTTTCAATTGATCTATTTAAATAACATTAGGTTTAACGAGTACCTAGGTTTGCTGCTACAAGGAAACTAATAAAGTGTGTGTTTTAAGTAAAATAATTATTGCTTAGTATAAAATGAATATATTTGCCAAGTTTGATCAAAAGATATCCATAAACAAGCAAACTACAACATTTTACAATATTCTCCATAAGAATAACATGGGAATTTTAAATTTACCATTTTTTTTTTTTAGTTTTCTCCGTAACCAATAACCGTACAAAAACACTTTGATATACTGAATTGTTTGTTTTTTTAAGCTCTTTAAGGAGGTTTAGAGAAAAATTGGGAAATTTTGTGTTTTGAGGGTCAAAAGTGAGAAAAACCAATTTTTACCCCATAAAACCCTGTTCCCATGGTCCGATCATGCTGGATCGTGAACTCATTCAAGTTTATCCCGCCTTACACCTTCAAACCAAATTTCATCAAAATCGGATAAAAATTACTCAAGTTATCGTGTTCACGGACACATATATATATATATAGCCTATATATATATATATATATATATATATATATATATACATATATAAAAATTTGAACGAGTGGTGTTTTTGGCCTCTGGGGACATCAAAATGAAAAAGTAAAACGGACCCGGGCCTAAGTCTTACCATGAGACATACGGTAATAGCTACTTCCCTATAGGGAAATTCGCTAAAACTATAACAACTGTTTTTTTTTATTAATGTTTAGGCTTAAAGTACCTACAATATAAACCTGATGAATCATTATATTATTATTTTCAAAGCCTAAAAATCACACAAACTTGCTTTCTGATAACATATAGGAAAGCAGATGATCATGTAGTTGCTAGAGTCCGCATGGTCACACCAAAAATAATCTAAGATTTATATCAGTATGTGTGGCTAATCAACTGTCACTTGTTACGAACAGAACCAACTGAGAGTTGTTGTAGGTATTACAAGACCCGTACCACGCCAAAATGGAAACATACAGATAAAAGATAAATACAGATAGATACAAACACATGGAGGCTATTTATTTGAAAATACAATTGACCATCATAATCTTAATATATCATTTAAGTTTTCTCAGTAGTTTATCATGTTTTCAGTGGCGCATCATCACATAATTTTTGTTCTGTTTCACATAGCAGCAGCATTTATATTGTAGTTTTCCATAAATCCTTCATCTGTTCATTTTCAGTAGTATCTTCAATCACCATTTTAGATGTCATTTCCAGTAGTGCCAATCACCATCTTCAAATGTCGTCTTCAGCCCACACATCTTCACCAGTAGCCAGCTCATCGACTCCGGGGTCACTGACGATGCTTCTGTTACAGGTTCAGGACAGGGTTCCGCGCCGTTCTCAGACTCTCCGTGGAAAAGACGACGGACTCTTGGCTAATGACTTGGGCTTGACATGGTTGCTGGTTGCAGGTTTAGAGCCGGCTTCTCAACCGTGCTCCACATCTTCCCCAACCGTTACCGTAGCAACCACGACCACTCGGTGCTGCATCGGTTCAACACCTCGACAACGTTCCTAAGTTCCAGGAGAGAAGCTAACAACTCTCTCAAGGCCCTCCCCCACTCCCACCCCCACAACTACAAGTGCAAGAGCACTGTGCACTACCGCGACGACCAGATGTAGTCTCTCTGTAAAGTGTAAATAAATCCGTATCGTTTATAAGTTGTGTCTGTCTTTCCTGCGACTTTAGCAGTGGAATTTGGGGTTTTCTGAATGCTGAGGGGACCTTTCAAAAAGTATGCTACTTATATCCTGAAGCTAAGTCTAGTTTCCCTAAGCAAATGGATGTGTTGTAAACTGGTGGGATCACGAATACTTGAACGGAACCAGTATGGATCATAAAAATAAACAAATACGTTACTTGCCCGAATCCTATAGTAATAGCATTAACATTATAGCTTGAACAGTTCAATTTAAGCAATGTTAAATCTTGCTTACTTTTGGGACAGTTACATAATTTGTTTATCCATACCATGTCTGTCCTAGTATTCTTGGGTGGGATGTGGGATGCACAATGGAGAAACACGTTTCAGGAAACCAGGTTCATGAAACGACAAACTTTAGTTGCTTACAACTAAAAGGTAAAGCAGGGTGCACACTGGAAAACCCCCTTTTCAGGAAACTGGTTTCATAAAATTGGATTCAAGGAAATCATTTTTATTTTTCTAAAAAAATCATTAAATTTCACAGGATCACTGCATAATTTAAGAGCTACAACGTAAGTACTGAGTTGACGATCCCTAATCAATGGGTGGATAACACTTCCTTCTTTTCTTTTCCTTTAGTCACCACCAAAAAATAATCACATCATCATCCAAATTTATATCAATGAATCAATGATAAACCTGTTTAGCATACGGCATTTTAAAAGTGGGTAGGTCTTTCATAAAAACAAACAAAACGTAAAAACAAGTTTTATTTCCGTAGCAGCTTGGACAATATTAAGAATCATAATTTGGGCTATAAATCACCTCTTTCTTTTTGGACATTCTTTATATTCTTCTAGAAAACTTTATTTTCTATGATGAAGTTAAACTTGTGAAACAAATTTTACTTAGACTTGAATGAGAAGTTGTGGTACAATGTATACTAAACTAAACAAAATATTAACTGCAATATTGGCTAAAGTGAAAACAATTTGTTTCAAGAGAATCAAAATATGGTTGGTCTTTAAAAAAAATCGGACAAGTCGGACGAGGCAGAGAAGTCGCAAGGTAATTTTTATTTTGTAAGAATAATATTTGATACGATTTTTCGTCTTTTAAAACTAAATTTTAATATTTATGAGGTTTAATTCACAAACAATATTTTTATTGGCACCAACTAAATTCTTGTATTTTCCGCATAAATGATTGAAATGCCTTCTGCAATTTACAGTAGTAGGATATACAGCATTCAAATAGAAATACAGTACATATATCAGACTACTAATGTATCTTCAATAGAAGGACCTTTCTAAAATTTATGTATAAAGCTGATATAATATGTACCACCTTACATACAAAATCAAGCGATAAAATGATTATTAAAACGTACATAATTTTAAAGTCGAAAGGCATAAAATAGTGCGATAAGCATTCACTTTTTCAGACGTAGTGGTAAGTTGCTAACAGAGAAAACAGGTAAGTCGATTTTCAAATGTTCACTACTTTACTAAGCGCTGATGTCATTATGTCACAGATGGCCCAATAACCCTAGAAAGTCGTATAAACATTGGTTACTGCCGAAATAACAACCAGCTGTCCTGTCCACGGAGTAATAACTATAACCATTGACTGCCGAGTAGTTATTGATTCTGTAAACAATACCGATCTGTTTATTTTATTATTGTTTAGTTACAAATTAATACCATTTCTAAAATATAAAAATAAGTGTGCATTGTTTTAGTAAAATTAAAGTTTTGCTGTGCTTCCATCGTAGTTCCATATTGTGTTGTTTTTCTGCAAAGTTTTCATGTTACATGTTTTGTTTCATTATTGATTACTGCATGTATACAGATAGTTTCCATTTATACTGTTGAGTCCCATCATTTACTTTTTATTTTAGGTTCATTGACCACTAATATGTGCATTAGCTTAAAAAAATAAGTTTTGATACTTTCGTAAATAATTAGTATAGCTAAATCGTATTAGAAGTTTTAAAAAATTTACCCACACAATAATCATAATTTTTTATAAATTGTATCTGCAAAAAAAAACTTCACCATAACTTTAAAATCTATATAATGATTTTCTTAAACCTCTATGTATATGAAAAAAATCAACCAAACTTCAACAGTTTTATTGCATATCTTTTCTTTAAAACTTTTTTATTTGAAATAAGTGGCCTTTAAAAAAGTATTTCGCTATAATACAAGTGTAAAAGCTATGGGAAAGAATGTTAACCTGAAATGTTTTAAGTATAACATTTTGTGATAACAGTGCACTACTAACTATGAAATAATAATTTGACCCGTTTAGTTTGCTAGTTTCCAATAAACTGAACCCCATTAAAATGGACAGTAAATAGAGGGCATATGTCGCATAGGCTATTAGGTTGACATTTTATGGCTTATGAAGTCCACCTTCCTCGATTTAAAAGCTACATAGAATCTTATACAGCTACTAAGTTAAGGGACATGTCGACTGTATTTATAAAGACATTCTATATTCTCTATAAAGAGTTCTTTATTCATTAGAAACAAAATACGTTTTTCAGCACATTTTAAAAATTAAAAAAACCTTTCCCTATATCTCTCTGTATAGGTTGTATTTTATGAGACTTGATAAAAGTTTAAGTAGCTATTTCTGTACGGATTTTAACATTGAAATTTATACGCTGATTCTTACATTATTTTAACTTGCCCACAGCCATTCCTGCTTTTTCGTATTCTGGATGTTCTCAATCTATCAAATCAACACAAAAAAGAGTATTTAAAGAAAACGCTTTTGAAAATAACACATATTCTAAAACAAAATCAACTATTGTCACAGCCTATACAGTTTTACATAATTCTTTCTCAGTTGATTTTACAATGCAATAATATTTGTATTCCGATCACTATGAAATTTACTTTATGGGTGTTTACTTCTTTGGTGTTTTATTTATATTCTGACCTCCTTACAAATATTTTTGATTAGGTCCAAATATTTTCATATTTTACTTCTCAACTAAAAACTACGCTTTACCCAACTAAAAGTCAACGTAACCACTACATATTCAACGTGTTTGTTAGGATAGTTTATTGTTCTCTAGAGTGTATTTTGAGGCTTGATACATGTTTTAAATGTCTAAAATTGCTTAAAACTCTTACATTAAAGTTTACTTTTCTAGCAAACTTTGGTTTATAAACTTTGGTGGAACGACGTTATAAAGAAAATTATATGATTTAAAGTGGCATAATATATCTTTCACTAAGTAAATCCGTGTTGATAATAAGGTGGGATTTTTATATGGGATGCTTTATAAGAATAACTTAGTCGATTTCATGATAATGTTGTGATTCTAATTGATGTTATAAATATATTTAAAAATTTATAAATAAAATAATATTATTAACATCTAATTAATACTTTGAGAAACTACTTGAAATGAAGTTTAGTGACGAATTTTATAAAAGAGACAAGTCCTTATTTTTAAAAGTACTTTGCCAAAATATAAAAAATGTATGTTATAACTAGATTTTGATAAACCCCTGTCTCAGCAAACCTACAGACTGGGTAAATTTCCATTTAACTGATTGGATTTTTATTTAAGTATTTACATAAACGATTCCGATTTAATCCCGTTCCAAACAACAGCACAATTACTAACGTTTGCTGCTCCAGGGAAGTTAATGAAATGTATTTTATTAACATATTAATACTTAAGTATAAAATAAATACATTTTAAAAATGCAATCAAAATACACCATATTAAAGCCAACATCTGTCTCGGGTCTATTCGGTAAATTACAATCATTTATTAGCAGTTTTAGAGAGGAAGGGCTTAAATTTCACAGCTTCTTAAACTCAATCTTAAATCGAAGTGGCTTTGAATAATAACTGTTTATGACTTTTGTATTGCAATATGCAATCCATATTAATCAATGTTTTACCGTTACATAGTATATCTAAAACGTATTTTAACGATTAGGAAAGTCCGTTAAATGTTACTGCCAATAAAATGTACTCAAAATAAGAAACTGAAAAAGCATTCACAAAATCATTTATTTTAAAGGCGTTACCTGTACCTTCATTTTTTTCCAAGGAACGTAAAATAGTAAGTGGTATGTCTTACATTTAAATTTCTTAGCGAGACCATTAGACATTTCAATAGTGTTAATTTGATTATGTTAGTGGCTTATAATCTAAAAAAATTGAAAATAGTTTCAAATCGGATGGAAACGTGGCTGTCTGAGTATGAAATTGGGATTTGTTTAGCCAAATGTAGACATCATATATAATTCCGATTGCAAATGCATGTTCCCGACATCTGGAAAAATTGGTTTTGGATGCATACAATACCAATCACAGGTTCCTTGAACTCTTCTACTCCACATTTTTTAAGATTTTTTTGTTTTCTAATATTACCAAACAGATTTTTTTTTTATAATAATGTGTAAGTAATTGAAACACGCCAAAGTAGCAATTTATCTATTTTATTAATTGTTTGAAGGAAATGTATTATTACTTTCCTTTTTTGTAGCTCCAATAGTTTGTGAGTAACGTTTGATTATTTTACATAATCTATAGGTACTACATCAAATATTTTTACTATGATGTATTTTAATAGTAATCAGTGAGTACGTTCAGCAAACTACATGCTGCCACAATTATAAAAGAAAATGTGTAATGTTTTCTTAAAAGCACAATTGGTTTCTTAAATCTAACACTATAAGTGGACCTCATAACTGTAAATCAGTTAAATATTTCAATCCTTCCTTTTTACTTAGTGTGTGATTTAAAAAATCCAATATTTAATTAATTTTACAGTGTTCCAAAGCTAGCTTTATAGCTATTTCTTTTTTAAAAGATAATTCGATGGAAACAAATTTTAAATTTTAAGCTTTATCTTCAGTATTCCCATTATAAGAAATTGTTGGTACTTTCCAGACTAGTTTCAAATAGGGAGAGTAAACTATTCTGCGTGTACTTTGCCCGTGTATATCAATTAAGGAAAACGAAGT